AAACCAACTATTTGAAGAAAATGTTCGTTGCTGAAAACGAAGTTGATTTTAGTTGTTGTAAATTCTAAGAGAGAAGCAAAAAGTGTGCTGGATATTTGGATTAACTTGTTGGGGTCATTAATGTAGAGGTTGAGTGCAATATTGCAAGCTTCATTGGCGGGGACTTTAGCCATTAAGGCTTTCGAATTTAGATGTTCTAGTGTATATTTGAAATTGAATGCATCTTTAAAAAATGAACCTGCAGATGTTACATATGGTGTGAGAGCCCGGGCTATATATTTGCCAGTATTGTAGTTGAATGAATCATAAGTGAACAGTATAGGTCGTAGGGGGCAGTCCTGTTTGTGTGGTTTAGGAATGCCATAGAGTTGTGGTATGAGTGAATCAGTTTTACATAGATAAAAATAAAGATAATCAGTAATTATCTTTTTTTCATTAGTAATAAAGTTCTGTTTAGTTTTTTCGTGTGTGTTTGTTGGGTTGTTTGGGATGGCTTTTAATTTATTTTTATCGGAAAGGATGTAGTTCATTTTGTCGATGTATTCTGATTTAAAATACAGTTTTTGGGAACTTCGTGAAACCACATTTTGTTGTAGTTGCCTGTAATAAGTCTGTTGGTTCCAAGTCTTGCAACAGTATCCGGTCATGGGACCTCTTTGTTCCATACTGTATGTATGTATATATATCTGTGTCAGTGTAAACTACTTGTACCTGATGATGACAAAACCTTGTCGTAACATTGTACATTTGCTGTTATGATAAATTTATATTAAAGTTTTTCTTCATTACTCATTCAAGCTGTCTCCAAGCATTATTGGTCTCAAAGCGAGTTCCTCATCATCGATTAATTTATATTTATTTCCTAATTTTTTATGGTGGTTACGAGGTCGGTCAAATTTACCAAACCTTTACAGAGATTAATTACTGAAAATAACAGATAAAATATAAAAATTTTTCTTAAGAAACATTTGATAACTATCTGGACATTATAAATATTGTGCAACTGAAATTTCAAAATCTTCTGATGCATAAAACTATTTCTAATCTTAAAATGAATATTACTTTGCATGATAGATAGGCAACATGAGAAAAGAAAAAATAGACATGAGAAAAAACATTGCTTTATAAACCTTAAGACTTATATTTGATATTTTGTGTATGAAAGCATTGTAATGTTTACTAATAATCTGCCAAATTTCGTTAACATTCGTATATTAATTTAAAAGTTATACCGTACAAATATAAGCACAAAATGGTTACAGGGTTGGTCCCTGGGACTAAGCCCGTGCTGAAAGAGTTAAGAGGGTGATAAAACAATAAAATTAAGTAGAAAAAGATGTAAACTATTAACAGCCTTAAACTAATGAGTGTAAACAACTGTAGATTTCTATTACAATCT